TTTATATATATATATATATTTCTATCTAAAATTATTTAAAATATGACCAAAGTGGGTTGAAAAATGAATTAAATCATTGGGATAGAATTGATGATGTGATGGTGACAGTACTAGTGGTGGTAATGTGATCCGTTGCCATCTCTATGCCGACTTCTTCTCACGGAGGGTGGATAGGATAAAGGATAGAAACACGTGATGCACTAATCGAGACATGTTTGAGAACATTGGTCCCATCATAAATATCATAATGTTGCAGGATTTAAATTCACCTTGCAGATTCGCCTATCTTAGATGTGGGATATAAAGTCAGGAATTGCATATAAAAGAAAAAAAATAAAAGTAATGAGAGGAAAAATTAATCGTTCATAATCATCAATCTGTTTGAAGTGTTAGAAAGAGAATTATTTTCTTTTATCACTGATTTAATTGTTGGGTTTAGTCTTATCTTATAATATATTTTGGTTGTCATTGTTAAAATAGGAATGAAATTGTAAATTATATAAAATATGTAATAAAAACAATAATAATAATAATAATAAGGCAGTAAATCATAATTATTTGGGGTCCACTATATTTATCTTTTGTCGTCATTAAGATTAATGACATGTAAATAATTATATATTTAATTAAGTTCATAGTATTTAACTTTTTATTTATAATTTTTTAATTAAAAAATTAAATATTTTTTTTTATCTCTAGTAGTACTATTAATATTATTATTTCACCTTTTCTAACTATCGAAAACCTTCTCAATATTAAAAAAATCTTTTTTTTATACTCTGTACATCTATCTTAATATTCTTATTTTGCAACATAATTTTTATATTTTTTTTTTAATTATCCAACACAAATCTATAAAACACTATTCATCTCATAGTTATCTTATAAAATTAATTTTTAATTTCAAATATATCCCATGTTCACGTAAGAGTTCTACTAGTTATCATTTTAATCATTTTATTTTTACTTCATAAATGTTATACCTTTTCATCTTATTGAATAATATACTTAACTTTTTACGATTTCTATTAATCCAATTTAACTATATTCTCTTCTATATTTTTTTATAATCATTAATATTAAATTTTATATATTTAGTTTTAATCTTACTTAATATAAAAATATTTGATTTTTAAGGTTTAGCCTTTATAGCAAAAGTTTATAATCTATTCCACATAAACTCTCATCAACTTAAGAAGATATATCATACAAGTATCTAGTAAATTCATCCAATATGAAAATACAGATACTTAATACAGATCCTCGGTACAATCCTATCCCAATAGGAAACTCCATTAACACACTCCCAATAGTTATATCACTAGTAGTTACATTATTATACATATCGTTAATAATATCAATATAATTAATGAATACATCTATTTTAAAATATACCACAATAAATATCTAGCAATCCTATCATTGACTTTCTCTAAAAAAAATAAAAATTATATGTAAATCTTTATTTTCTCCCTATACTTTTTATTAATTATTTAAATAAATAAAATATTCTAAGCATAAAACTAAATTATTTTTCAGATATATTTGTTTCAAATTTTATCCTACTTTCAATAACTCATTTTCAAAGTTTCATAGAATAATTCATATTTTAATTCTTCTATAATTTGAATAAATTTATACAACATTCTTATTTTTATAAATTAACACTAAAAAACTCTTTCTCCATTCATAAATATCCTTTTGAATATATGATTTTATTAAAGAAGTTAGTTAACCATGTTACTCCCTTATTCCTTAAACTTTTTCAAACAGTGATAGAGATATCATGAGGTCCAAACCTTTTTATCTTCTTTAATACGTCTTTTATTTCATTAATTCTATTTTTATACATAAATATATGATTATTAAATATACTATTATTATTTATCATTAAATCCAAATTCTATGTGGAATATTTATTAAATAATTTATAAAAAATATTTTTTTTAATATTCTCTTAATCTCTTTATCATCAATAACTATTTTTTTATCTTCATTTTTAATATATCTCATATTATCTAAATCCTTAGAGTTTTATTTATTAGCTTTAGCAAATTGATACATATCTTTTCATCATCTTTAGTACATAATTTATTATAAAAATTATCATAAGTTTTACATCTAATTATATTAACCATTTTAAATATCTTTTTTAGATTATTTATATTTTTTAAAGTTTTTTCTTATTTTTACCAATTTTAAAACATGATTTTTTTTAGTAAAAAATATTTTTTAACTTTTTCGAACTACTATCAACTCTCTCTCTCTCTCTCTCTCTCTCTCTCACACACACACATTTATATCTCTACCTTTTTATTCATTAAGAATATTTTTTGTTAAACTCCTAATTTTATTAATTATCATATTTCAAATAATATTAATATTATATATCTA